CTCCCCCAGCAGTGATGACTCCCTCCCCCTCCCCCAGAAGTGCTGACTCCCCTCCCACTCCCCCAGCAGTGTTGACTCCCTCCTCCTCCCCCAGGAGAGCTGACTCCCCTCCTCCTCCCCCAGCAGTGCTGACCCTCCCGCTGCCCCTCTCCTCCCCTCCCCAGCAGTGCTGACAGCCTGTTGGGGCTCTGCCACCTCCTCCGTGGAAGCAGTGACGTGAGCATGTTTATCCCCATCTCAGGCTTTGCTGTTTTCTTTCTGGTACAGAACGGGGACTACACCTCCGCATCCCCTTAGACGCTGGCAAAGGCCACTAGCCCGAAATCACGAGGCCCCCAGCCTCACAAAGGACGTCCCCACCCCCACCCCCCAGGTCTGCCCCTGAAGGAGGGGGCTGTTGGGGGGCTGTGTAGGCGCACACGTTCTGCGCTGGGCCAAGCAGGAGCGGGGGCGCCGGCGGGAGGTCTGCAGCTGCGCCGCCTCGGCCCATGTTGTCCTGTTCCGAGAGGAGAGAACGAACTTCAAGCCTGCCGCCTGAACGGATCTGAAGCGGCTGCGCAGCGGGGGAAGGGCAGAAGAGCCTTGATTTCTCGGCTTGTCAGCCCGACCTAGATTTAGACGGCGGTCTCTGGGCGTCAGCTCTTCAATTCAGCCTGACCCCTCACTCAGCCCCCAGCTAGTGGTCCGATGACTAAAGTCCAACTGCATCCAGGAAGGTCTCAGAAGGGAAGCATTCAAGTTCAAGTTCATGGAGGCCTATTTCAAGAGCTAATGGCTGCAACTCAGATTCCCATTCCCAAACCAACTCCCCAGCACAGGGCGCTCTTTGCCTCTTGGCTCTGAGGAAAATGCTGCCTCCCGGCTGCTGGGCCGCTTTCCCTGGAAGCCCGGCAGCCCTGCAGTTGTCTTTTCTATCATTGCCCAACTTTGGCCTTTTTTGTTAACAAAATCTATATTATGGGGAGCACAGTAGCTGTGTAGGATAAGCACTGAACTGTAAACCACAAAGTCGGTGGTTTGAGCCTATTGGTGGCCCTGAAGGAGAAAGTTGAGGCTTTCTGTTCCTGTAAAGATTGGAGCCTTGGAAACCCTGTACAGGGTCACTGAGTGGAAACCAACTCCATGGCACTGACTTGATGTGCTATGGGAACTCTAATCCTTCTCTCTCAAGTTATAGTATTTCCCTAACTACCTGTTTATGTAAGGAGCTCTGGTAGCATTGTGGTTACAAATCAGGCTGCTAACCTCGAGGTCAGCAGTTTGAAACTACCAACCCTTCTGTGGGAGAAAGATGAGCTGTTTGCTCCCATAAAGATTTACAGCTTCGGAAACCCTGTGCAGGGTCCCTATGAGTTGGAACCGACTCCACGGCAGATCACCACCGCTGTCTATGTATCTCCATTGTTTTTCTTCGTTTTAATCGCGTGGTCAAATATGTCAACGCTATAGTTATAGTTTTCTATGAAGAAAAACGTGGCATCAGGATTGGAGGAAGACTCATTAACAACCTGCAATATGCAGATGATACAACCTTGCTTGCTGAAAGTGAAGAGGACTTGAAACATTTACTTGTGAAGATCAAAGAGCACAGCCTTTGGTGTACGGATTACATTTCAATGTCAAGAAAACAAAAATCCTCACCACTGGACCAATAACATTCTTATCAATGGAGAAAAGATTGAAGTTGTCAAGGACTTCATTCTTCTTGGATCAACTATCAACACTCATGGAAGCAGCAGTCAAGAAATCAAATGATGTATTGCATTAGGCAAATCTGCTGCACAGGAACTTTTTAAAGTGTTGAAGAGCAGAGATGTCAGCTTGAGGACTAGGGTGCACCTGACCCAGGCCATCGTGTTTTCAATAGCCTCATATGGATGCGAAAGCTGGACAGTGAATAAGGAAGACCATAGAAGAATTGATGCCTTTGAGTTGTGGTGTTGGAGGAGAATATTGAAAGTGCCATGGGCTGCCAAAAGAACCAATAGATCTGTTTTGGAAGAAGTGCAGCCAGAGTGCACCTTGGAGGCCAGGATGGCTAAGCTTCGTCTCTCATACTTTGGACATATTGTCCGGAGGAAACGACCAGTCGCTGGAGAAGGATGTCATGCTGGGTAGGGTGGAGGGTCAGAGAAAAAGAGGAAGACCCCTAACGAGATGGATCAGCCAGGTGGCATCATTGATGGCGTCAAGTGTGGCAGTGGTGGTGAGGTTGGGCCAGGATCGGACATTGTTTCCTTCTGCTGTGCATGGGGTCGCTATGAGTCGGTTCCGACTCGATGGCACCTGACAACAACAACAATAGTTATACTGTCTGGGTTGGGGTGTTTGCTGTTGTTGTCGGGTGGCCTTGAGTCTCCTCAAACTCATAGTGACCCCATGATACCAAGTGAAATTGCCCCCATAGAATTTTCTAGGCTCATTTTTATAGGTGCGGATTACCAGGGTCCTTGTCCCTCAGAGTCGCTGGGTTCAAGCCGGTAACTGACTTTCCATTAGAGCTGGGTGCTTATCTGCTGCGCATCAGAGCCCTTATAGTGTTGTTGTTGTTGTTGTGTGCCGTGGAGTCGGTTCTGACTCATAGCGACCCTGTAAAGGATTTCCAAGGCTATAAATCTTTACAGGAGCAGAAAGCCTCATCTTTCTCCCACAGAACTGCTGGTAGTTTCGAACTGCTGACCGTAAGGTTCACAGCCTGATTCGTAACCACTACGTTACCCGAGCTCCTTCCTAGAGTGTTAGGTGCGGTCAGTTGGTTCCAACTGAGAACAATCCTGTATAGGGTTTCTGAGAGGCTGCCGAGGCTAAACCACAGCAGGGCTCCTATAGGTTACAGTGTTGTTGTCGTTGTTAGGTGCCATCGAGTCGGTACTGACTCATAGCGACCGTATGCACAGCAGAACCTCACTAGTGTCGCCATGCTTCACAGTTTGAGAGCCTTCCAACCTGAGGGGCTCATTTTCCGGCACTATATCTGACAGTGTTCCTCTGCTATTCAGAAGGTTTTCAGTGACTAAATATTCGGAAGTAGTTCGTCACTCCTTCTTCCTAGTCTGTCTTCGTCTGAAGTTCATCTAAAACCTGTCCTCCATGAGTGACCCTGCTGGTATTTAAAATACCCGGTGGCAAAGCTTCCAGAATCACAGCACCTCACAAGCCCCCACAGTACGACAAACTGACAGATGAGTGTGGTTACAAATACTGCCTGCTTAATTTTCTTGTTAGCTTTTTTCACTGAAATCCTTAATCGATCTGGAGTCTTTACCTCAAGTATGAGGTAGGAAATCACCTATCACCTTCCCAAAGCCCAAATATGACAAAGCCAGCCTTTTTCCAGACAGTAGGACCAGTGCTAATTCTAGCTGGGAGGCCTGCCCCTCTCCCATCACATCTGGGGTTCTCACACTGCTGCTTCCTGTCACACGGGAAAGTGGGTTCATCCAGCAGGGCACCCGGGAACATCAGAACACAGAATGCTGCAGGGACTAGGGAGGCTGAGCAAACACCAAGGGGTTCAGGGGTGCAGGGATGGCTCCACAGGCCTGTCAGGGGCACGGCCTTGGGGCCCCTTGGTCACTTGAACCTGGCCTGGGTGGCCCTGCCTCATCTTCCTGGTCTCTCTCAGCTTCCCTGAACCAGTCTCCTAGACATGCAGGACCAGCTGGAGGAAGGTCCTTGGGTTTCATCTCCTTAGTGGGCTTCAGGGAGCTGGGCTGGGAGAAGAGACAGGTGTCTGTGGGGTGCAGGTGGGAACCACTCAACAAAGTGGAAGAGAAAGGCTCCAATCCAGGCCAGACTAGCGGTTTAGAGGAGATGGGGACAGGGATCTCCAGGCTGGTCTAGTCCATGCTGAAGCCCAGGTCACCTCCATCTCTCTGCCCAGCAGCCCTTCCTGAGGAGGTAAGACCTGGGGGAGTCCTTCACCCTTGCTTTTCCCGTCAGCCTGGCTACAGCGCTCCCGTCACTCCAGGACTCATGCCTGACGCAATCTGCTCAATATAAACCTGCACACCCTCCCCTCCCACTGGACCGGCAGCCACAGGGAGGACTGTCCTGTGGTCACCATGCAGTGTGTGGCTTGGTGGCCTGCAGAGGCAGCCCTGAGTCTGCCACGTGTATGGACGAGGGGTGATCCAAGAGCCCCCACCTCAGTGGTGTCCACCCCTGTGGGTCCTAGCAGCCTCACCCCCACCCTACCCAGGGTGAGAGATGCATGAGAGGAAAGGCAGACAGGCCGCAGCGGAGAATCAGGTTTAATGTCACTCTAAGGGCTATCGTACATTGTTCCAAGCTGCACCCACACCCCAGCCTCTTCCTCTGCCCTCAAGCCCAGCTCTGGAAAAGGGGGGCCTGCCCCCAAGCCCCAGCTATGTACAGAAGGGCTACCCTCTCTGGGCCCTGGACCCACTCCACCATGGACTGGGGGGCACAGTCAGACCCTCTGCAGGACAAGTACAGCCTTGCCCGCCGCCGGGACCCAGCCCCGGCCAGCCCCGGCCAGCTTTGCATGGTTCCAGAAGCGAACCCCTCAGCAGTGGGAGAGCTCTGGGGGCTGGGCCCAGTGCCTCCCGGGAGAGTCAGGAGCTTTTTCCTGCCACTGCCAGAGCTACTCGCTGGGCTGCTGAGGTCAGAGTAAGCAGCGGGGCGGGGTCCAAGCAGACGCTGGGGCCTGGAGGGGCCTGGAGGAGTGGACAGCCAGGCTCACCTGGGCTGGTGATGAAAACGCTGGCCGCGGAGCCGCCAACCTGGGAACCAGTAACACAGCGCTAACTAGGGAACTACAATGCCGCTGCACTCAAAATTGTCTTGGGGTAAAAATTGCACTTATTTCTACGGCCCAGGGAGGACACCTCCTGGGTGCTGGCCAGGGGCGGGGCTGGGTGTCCCTGGCCCACCCCGCACCGGTGCAGCGGACTGCAGAGACCCTGAGCGAGCCTCCCCTGAGGTTGCTCTGGACCAGGACTGAGCCCCAGATGCCCTGGTTCCAAGCAAGTGGCCAGCCCTCAGAGGACATCGTCCAAGTCCAGCAGCTTTGAATGCTGCCGGCTCTTCCATAGGCGGTACAGCCGGAAGTCGAAGTAGGTCTCAATCATCCGCTTGCCTGGGGAAAGGAAGGTGGCTCAGGCCAGGTGGGGGGTCCCAGACCCAAATCAAGGGCTGGGGATCAGGCTGGGCAGACTCACCTTGGGCCGACAGCTCCAGGGGGGACTCGAAGGTGACCCTGTATGGGGTCATGAGGGTCCTGAGGTTCTGAAACAACTAGGAGGAAGGGGTGGGCCGGGGGATGAGAAGATGTGCAGAGAAGGTAAGGGGGACAGAGGCAGAGCCCACCCTCTACTCAGGAACCCCAGCTCTGGCTGGGCTCAGGGACAGGGAGTCTCCCTGGGAGACTGATGCACTGCTGATGGGTGGGCTCTGGGGCACAACGATGCTGCAGGAGAGAACGGTCCCAAAAGGCTCTCCCAGGCTGGAAATCTTTCTCCCGCAGAAGGGCTGGTGGGTTCAGGTCACCAACCTTCCATGAGCAACACAATCCTTAGCCCAGTGTCCTACTAGAACTCCCTATTGGGGGACTTGTTGTTGTTGTTGTGTGCTGTGGAGTCGGTTCCGACTCATAGCGACCCTGTACAGGGTTTCCCAGTAAATCTTTACGGGAGCAGAAAGCCTCATCTTTCTCCCGCGGAACAGCTGGTAGTTTTGAACTGCTGACCCTGAGGTTCACAGCCCGATTCATAAGCACTACGCTAGAGCTCAGGGAGGGAAATGGTGATCCAAGCAGGCACTGGAGTCCTGCCATCTCTTCCCAGGTCTGGGGTCCCGGTACCTTCTCTCCATTGGGGTTCCCCAGAATGTAACAGCCCATGATGTGAATGATGTTTGGCTCTGGGTTCACTTTGCTCATCAGGCGGCTCAGACGCTTCCAGAAGCTGGTGGGGGATGGGACAGATCACGTGAGGCCGTATGACCAGATCCCCAGGGTAAGGGGGCGCAAACCATGAGAGGTGTCAAGCATAGGACCCCACTGGTGAGCAGCTCATGTTCTCAAAGGACAGGAAGAGCTAGGTCATGGGGACCCTCCAGCCCAGGTCCCCTGGTGAGAGGAGGGGGTGGGCCATGGGGGGCCTGGAGCCCAGCTGAGTATCAGGAGTCCTGAGGTTCTGAAACAACTAGGAGTGGGGGCCCATTCCTCTGCCTCCACCTCTCTGCTCTCACTGGATCATGTCTTCTTCCTTCTCCACTTTGGCAAATGTGGCCACCTTGTTCTTGAGCAAATAAAGGTGTCCGGGGCCTCCCTGCGAGTCAGGAGAGAGTGGGTTCGATGGGGCCTCGGGGGCTCACTCAGGTGCTTCCATCAATCCACCTGTGCGCCTCTCCTCCCACCTCCACCCCAATGTTCAAACCACCTCGCCTCCCCTCCCCAGCCCTCTCCTGGCTACCTGGCAGAAGATGAGCATCTTCCAGATTCGGGCCCCTTTGTGGTAGATGTTCAATTTCTTCTCAATTTCCTCTGTGGATCATGGGAGGTGTGAGGACTCCTGCCCACTACCTGCCCATCTGCCTCCCCATGATCAGAGGGACTTGAGGGCCCAGCAGGGACACTTACCCAAGATGTCCTCAAAGGTGGCGTGCTCATGGTCCTGAGGACAGACACAGCCACATCAGGGGCCTGCCCCCTCCCCATGAAAGGTCTGTCCCCCCATGCTGTATATCCGGCCTGGGTATTGTGTCTGGACCACTCCATGAACACTTACATAGAGAATGGGGATGATGGAAGGATCGTCTCTGCGGATGATGGCGGGGATGTACTCGGCTTTGGGTACCTTGGAGGAGATGAGCTAGGGGGAGGAGGAGTGCTTAGTGTTCCCCACCCACCCTGCAGGTCGGACTCCCCTGCTACCTGCTCCGCTGAGCCCCAGAGCCTCACCATGACCTTGGGGGGCACAAAGTCCTCTGAGTCACAGGCCACAGCCTCCAGACCCTTCTCCGTCTCCCAGTCCAGGCCTTCAAAGTCCTCATCCAAGGTGCAACAAGAACTCTGCAGGTCATTACCTGGGGGAGCAGGGAGGGCACAAGGTGGGGCCTTCCTGCACCTCCGGCCCCAGCCAACCAGGGCTGCTCCTCTAGAGAGCCAGCTAGACACTGGGGTCAGGTTCCAGTGCTGAGTTGGGGGTGGGGACAGTCGGCACCGTCTGCGATGCCTTAGGGCCCCCGGATTGTAGGAGAGGGTACACAGCTAGCAGGAAGGCCTACAGACCCCAGTAACCCTGTCTCTAGCCCTGCCGCAGCCGTCTCCATCTCCCCCTGCTCTTTCGTGTTAATCCCACCCAAGCTGAGGTGCTGAGCCCAATTTCACAGGTGGAAACTGAGGCTGAGAGAGCAATAGCGCAGAAGGCCTGCTGAGCGTGGTAGGCCGGCCTGCATGGGCACCTACTGTCTCGGGAGTCGTGGGAAGTGTCGGCTTTCATGGGGGTGGGGTCGCTCCAGGACCTGCTGAAGCTCCGCTCGCGCCGCTCAGCGAACGCTGCAGGGAAAGCAAAACCCGCATTAGCCAGCGGGGCAGGGCCTGCAGAGGGTGTGGCCTCAATGGAGGCGTGGTCGTTGTGCGTGTGGCTTAGGTGGAGGCGTGGTCTAAAGAGGAATGGTACCTGAAGTTGGGAGAGGGTGACACCGGCTCAGAGGTAGAGTTTAAGAATGGCTGGGTAGGGGATGGAGTGTTGGGCGCCAGGGCTGGATGGGATAACGTCTAGGAGAGGAGTCGGCCAGTGTTGGGCGACGCCTTAACGGGCGGGGTATATTGATAGTAGGTGTGGCGTTAGGCGCAGATACACTGGGGAGGGACCTGTAGGGGTGGAGTCTAGGGACACAGGGGCGTGGCCTGGCCTGCAGAGGGAGGCGTCTATGCAGCAAGCAGCCCGCGAAGCCGGCCAAGCGCAATGGCTGCCCCCTCCACCTGGCCTGCCCCCGCCTGGCCTTACTCTGAGCCTTCACCCGCCGGCTGCCGACCATGCGCAGATGTTTGCGGAAGTTCCTGCGGAGGGAAGCCCCATAGTGAGGGATGAGGGGGTAGGGGCCCAACTGCCCATCACTGGCTCTCCACCCATGTATGCCAACTTCCTCACCTATCGCAAACCGCACACAGCCCGTCTCCTACAGAGCCCACCAGGAATGAAGGTGCAGCTCCACCTCTGTGCCAGACCCTTCCATCTCTCGGCCCACACGGGCCCTCCCATCTTGCCCCCTGCCTGAGCACCTGCCTCCCATCTCGCCCTCTGTTTTCCTGGTCCTGCAGGTTCCCTAGGGTTTCCAACCCTCCCCTTCCATGATGTCCCCAGGGGGGTCGGGCTTCAGACTGGTGCCACAGCTCTGAGCCTTAGGGACCACAGCCAGGAGGGCCGCTGGGCAGTTCTACTGCCCAGGGACCACCAAGCTGGGCCTGGGCGAGGCTGTCGGGACCCAGACTGACCTCCACCTCCATCCCCTGCCGCGCGTCCCAGAGCAGGGCCAGGCCAGTCGCCGCCACCCGCCCCACCCGGCCCAGACCTCGGCCCAGACGAGACGGATCTGGTGGCGAGTGGCTAGCAGGCCCTACCTCTGGATTACAGACGCGGAATCATTTTCTCGCTTCCGGCGCTTCCTCTCTGCGTAGCCCCTGAACACCCTGGGAAACCGCTGCGAGTCAGAGCGGCCCTCGCTGCAGCAAGCGCAGGGCCCATGGGCAGGCCAGGGCCAGGCGCTGGGCACAGGGGTCCTGGCCCCTGAGCCTGCTGCGAGGGGCAGCGCAGCCTAGCCTGAGACTGGGCTCCCGGCAGGGCCTGCTTGCAGCTCGGATGCCTGCTGGGAGCCAGGCCTCTGCGGCAGCGCTCCCCACATCAAAGCAGAAGCCAGCCCCTGGCCTGTCCAGACCTATTTGGGGTGGGAGGACACCCAGGGACAATGGCCAGAGCCCTTCGACGCGAGGTCTCGGAGGGTACTTACGAGATGCTGGAGCCGTAGCGAGCAGGAGCAGAGAGAGAAAAGACAGTAAGCGTCAGCCTTGTGGGGCCCTTTAGGCCAGCCCCCGGATTAATGTAGCTGTGAGGGTCCTATGACTAGTCAGGCTAGGCCTGGGCCAGGGTCCTGAGGAAGCCTGCCTTGGGCTCGTGTGGCCTCATGGGAACGCTTATGGGATGGAGCTTGTTTGGTATCAACTGGGCCAGAAATCCACATGTGTGTCAGGGTGAGGGAGAGCAGGTCCTTCAGACCCCCTAGAATTGTGCTCCCTCTGGTATAGGACACGGGATGCTGTTTGGGGATCTGAAGGCAGACAGGGCCCTGAGAGCCGGTTTTCTGAGGAGGAAGGGCCCAGGACTCACGCTTGCATAGTGGTGGTTGCTGTCTGGAAGCTGAAGAGGTTCTCCCTGGGGAACCAGGTGCGGATAGGGATGTCATCTGGAGAAGACCCAAGAAAAGCAGTGATGAGGGCAGCTTGGGGGTTCATGAGGATTCTCTAAGTCACATGCTCCAGCATGAGGAGGGGGCGTGGGCACCGTCCCCATATGGGACCATGGGTTCTGGACCAATCTGGGCCTCTGTGACTCACCTCTGCTCACACTAGCTTAGTAAGGCCCCTCTAGGTGAGCTGGGGGCCCTCCCTGAGGAAGCATCTCTGTGGAGACCAACTTGCTGAGGACAGTCTGCCTCATGGACCCCCACCCTCCCATCTGCCCTCGGCTTGCAGTCAGCAAGATTGTGATGTCATGGTAGTGAGCTACGGGCGCCCCAGCCTCCTTTGCAGATGGGCAGGGGCTGGAGGCTGGGGTGGAGAAGCCTCCTTGGGTCTAGGACCTCCTTGGGTCTGCCTGTGACTCCACCCTGGTTGTGGGGACACTCAGCTGTACACTGGGGCAGACATGGCTCCACGAGAGATCTAGGAAGTGGGCTGGAAGGACGCAGAGTCTTCTATTGGATTATAACTCTGCTCTGTGGGAGGTGACCTCAGACAAAGGAATAGGGTGCTGGGCATCCTGAGGGGCACAGGGCAGAGCAGTTATGAGACACAGCTGATCTCATGAGCTCCCCAGAATAGTACAGGGCCCTCAAGTGGGCCAGCCACAGAGCTCCCTGGGGTGCAGGAAAGTCCCTCTGGTAGTCCTGCCTTTGGATTAAGCCACCTTTTCTGCCTCCCAGACACCTCCAGGAAGCCCTCCTTGATTGGGCCCAAGCTACCAGAAAGTCATCTAAAGGCACCAGAACCTTTCTTATACTCTTGAGATTATTAGGCCTTGGGGTGCACTGAGAACCTGCCCCCCCCTTCCTGGTGGCCGCTCCCCACCCCGTACCAGCATCCCTTCCCAGGCTGCTGAGCCTTGGACCACCAGCCCTCACCCGACATTCGATCCACACTGTACATCCTCTCCAGCTTCTTGCGGCGGCCGCTGGGTTCAGGCGGGGGCGATGGGTCCAGCCCAAAGGCTCGTGGGGAGGGGCTGGGGGCCATCGGGGTGCAGCCGGGACATTCCTTGGAGCCCTGGCGGCTGCCTGCCCAGCTCTGGCAGGGCCCGGTGAGGTCATCACGGCTGCCACCAAGGCTGCCACGCAGAGGTTGGCTGTGGTGGTGGTGGTGGTGTCCGCCCTGTCGCCGTCCCTTAACCACGGCCAGCTCGATGGCTTCAGCCTCAGTGCTGGGCAGCAGGGCTGGCTCACCTGAGATGGTGTATACTCGGGGCTCAGGGCCCTGGCCTGCCGGCTTCTCTCTGCCCGTCTCTTCAGACAGGCTGCCCTCGTAGCGGCCATTGGAGACAAGGGAGAGGCGACGTTTATTCTGAGGGACTGGCTGCATCTCAGGAGACCCGTCGTGGCCAGAGTAGGCGTCGGCCAGCAAGTGGTCTAGGGAGAGGCGAAGGGTGTTCAGACCTCCAGAAGGCAGGGGCACCCCTCAGGAGCTTGGTCCAAAGGGCCTGGGGTGGGCTGCCCCTCAGCTCACCGACAGAGCCTGGTCCAACGCCTTCGGAAAAGGCGCTCCAAGTCCCAAGCTCTGCACCTCTCCAAGGCTTCCCTGGCCCTCCTTGCTGGGTTAGCTGTGCCTTGTGTGTATGCGTGTGTTGGGGGGGCAGTGGCTTTCTGTTCCTTCCTAGTTCTCTGCGGTGGTGCACATGTGTTGTGGGGGGATGGGCAGACCTGCAAAGGCCACTTCCCAGTTGCAGTAGCGCCCGCTGTCCTGGTGCCAAGCCCACGGCTGGCCCCCAGAGGCAGTGGTGCCAGCCTAAGATGCCAGGAGGCCTGTTGCCATGCCAACCCCCAGGCTGGGTGGGTACCATGGTGACAAGTGACTGCAGTTTCTCCTGGGGCAAGACAGAGGGGAGGTACTGGGAACAGGGCTAAGGTCACTGGCCCGCCCACCCACACAGCTGGCTCTGCCCCGAGTGCCCTACCTGCTCCGTTGCGATTCTCAGGGTGACTCTGGGACAGGTACTCTCCAAACGCGCGGGCTGCTCTGAGGGTGTACAGAAGGGGTGCAGTCAGAGAGGACAGGCGTACCCCGAAAGCTTCTGTACCTTGCCAAGTCTGGGGTACCAGCAAGGGACACACAGCTGTGTGAGCGTGTCTGTGCATGTGTGTGTGTGTGGGGGGGCAACGAGAGCCCTCGGTCCCTGAAGACACCCCCATCCCACTCGCTGTCCCTCTGGTTTAGTTCTCACAAGCCTGGGGTTCACAGGTCTCCTCTCAGCCCAGAGGCCAGTGGTCTACTCCAACCTGGGGCTCAGTTGCCCCCCCAGCTCAAGGAGGGAAAGTGGCGAAAGCCAACACACCAGACGATGGGGGGCTTGGGCCAGAGAGTCACAGAAAGGGAAGGACGGGCGCGGGGGCGCTAGATGCAGGAGGCGCGAGGGGCTGGGGGCTGGAGACAGACAGAGGCTGCGGGGGCGAAGTGAGTGTGAAGTGGGGCTCCCGAAGTGTGGGGAGCAAAGGCCGCCGGCCCAGCAGCAGTCAGGACACCCGCAGGGGGAGAGAGGAAGCTCAGGAGGACCGGAGAGTCGAGGGACGCGGACGGTGAGGAGCTGGGCCGGGCACCCGGAGGGGGCGGGGAGGAGATGAGCTGCCGGAGAGAGGCTAGGGGTTTGAGCTGGGGAGAAGGTGGGGGTCTTGCAGAAGGCGCCCGGGTTGAGGCTGGTGATCGCTGCTGCCCTGGCCTCAGACTCATCGCCCAGGTGGTCACCGTCGCAGCCCCCGGACTCACCGTACTTTGGCCGCCACTGAGGACATGGCCTCGCTCCTCAGCGCCCTCCTCCTGGAGGCGGCGGCGCCCATGGTCGAGGCGGCGGCGCATCCCCCAGCCTCAGAGCGCGCTTTGCGCCCGCCAACGCCTCCGTCGGGGCAGCCAGGCTGTGCCGGGGTTCGAGGTCGGGGTCGGAGTCGGAGTCCGGGATGGGACTGGAGTCGGGGTCAGGCCCGGGCCCCGCATGGCCGCGCCCGGCCCTCGCGTCCCGCGGCACCTGGGAGATCGGCCGGGACAGACCGGGAGGCTCCGCCCTCCCTGACGTCACAGGACTGGGGGCGGGGATTCGGCGTGGGAGGCTCCGCCCATCACGACGTCACGGGCCATGTTCTTGAGGGGCGCAAGAAACTGAGGCCAATGGTGTCCATTCGGAAAGGCACACAGCCCTTGAACCTGGGTCCCTCCTGCCCGGCGTTTAGAACCCCTGCTCTTTGCGGATCATACCCCGGGGTACGTCTCTAACCCCAGAACTTGGCAGACCACCCTGGTTCTGAAACCACAGGACGTCCAGATTATCCTTGGTTTTATCCCCGGGAACCTCTGGTGATGTAACTTACATGATTGTAAATGTTAATAAAATGTGAGTTTCCATTTATAGGGGCGTGTCTTGTGTAACTCGTCCTTGGTTTCAGAGGTACCTCAGCCCCCATTACAGAGCCTGGAGGCTGCCTCACTGCAGACCCCAGAGCTGCCTGCAGGGTCTCAGCCTGCATTGAGAAGGGCAAACTGACTCCCATCACACCGGGATTCATCCCACAGTCAGCCCTGACGACGATGGCTAGAGGGCAGGTCAGACAGTGAACAGTGTGACACACAACTCGGTTTTAGCTCTTTAATGCGCTAGGCCGAAGCCCCGACGTCCAACACCTCAGGATGCTGGGATGCAGGCCTGGGGGCGCTGGGAGCTGTGGTCAGTGGAGCCCCCAGACACATGCAAAGGGTGGGAGTGGTTGGACCCCACGTGCTCAGGCTGTAAAGGGGCTTGGCAGGCTGATGACAGTCACTGGAAGAGAGGCCGTATGCATCCGGAGCTCAGCCTCTACCCATCTTGGTCAGAGAAGGAGGGCGGAGAAAAGTCCTGGGACGATGCTGGGGAAGCCAGATGGTGATGTCGGTGCCGCAGTGCGGGCTCACACTCCTGGAAGCAAAGCCACCATCACTCGGGCCAGTCCTCTTAGTCCCACGGTAGCCAGCATGGGACTCAGGAAGGCTGGCATACTCACCGAGTCTGAGTCCTCTTCAGCTGGAGTGCTCTGGAAGTCAGCGTATGTGTCCCTGGGGGCCCCCAGCAGTTCTTCCTCGTACTCAGTTTGGTAATCAGACTCGTCTGGGCAGAAGGAGAGCTGTGCTGTTCCCACTGAGCTCCGCCGCCCTAACCTGGTGCACGGTGGGGTGACCTGAGCCCCACGGAGCACTGACGACAGTCCCTCCTGACTCAGGCCCTCAAGGACTGCAACCCCTGACCGGCCCTCAGGAAGCACAGCGCTTAATTGTGCCCGGCTCTGGACAGGCGGCGAGGGTCCAACCTCATGTGGGTCAGCTCAAGATGGAGAGGCATCCTCCCACTGTTCTGGGCCACTGGGTCTTAATAAGGACCCAGAAGAGCCAGCTCTTTTATGGGTGCCGTCCTGGGAAGGAGCCAGGGGAAGGGGGTCAGGGGAGATCGAGGCATGGACACCAGGAGGAAATGTGGTCTAGAAGATGGTAAGGTCTAGGAGGAAGCAGGGGGCAGGAGAAGAGGGCCTAGGAAGATGGAACCCAGAAGGGGGTAGAGTCTAAGAGGGGGGTGGGGGCCAGAAGAGGGTGTCTGGGAGCAGAGCGGGGACCTGGAGGGTGCGGTTCCAGGAATGGGGCGGGTTGTGCTCCTGGAGACGGGGTGAGTGGGAGGCCTCCATGGGCTGAACATGCAGCCAGGAGTCCCAGCACCATGGTGGGCAGGGAGGACGCTGTCCCTCTCATCCTCAGACTGAGAGGAGGCCGGGCACCAACTATAGCATCCACTCACCGTCCACTGTGGCCACCTTGGGGGGCTCAATCCTTGACACAATCTCAGCGAGGTCCGTGAAGGAGGCATTGGGGCAGGTGAGAACCTGCAAGGTTGGGGGAAGGAGGTCCTAACGGGAGGCAGATGCTGCCCCCCCAGATCCCCTGTCTGACCTCCATGACCCCAAGTGGGTCACCCCCTACCCTACCCCCACAGCTGAGCTGCTCGCCCCAGGGTAGGGCAGTGGAAGATGATGCCTGAGCCCAGGCTGGACAGTGCAGGTCAGCCCAGGGTACAGAACCACAGTGTGCCCCGGCTACTCACATTACTAGCCTTCGTCTGTGTCTCCTGCCTGTCCCTCAGCATCTTGTCCAACACACCACTTCGAACCCATATGTCAAATACTGTCCGGCCATGCTGGTACCCCACGTCCTGTGCACACCCGGGGTCCTAGGTCAGAGGTCAGGGCCCTCCCTGCTGGACCCCACATCCTGTACACACCCGGGGTCCTCGGTCAGAGGTCAGGGCCCTCCCTGCTGGTACCCCACGTCCTGTGCACACCCAGGGTCCTCGGTCAGGGTACCCCACTTCCCATTCACACCCCGGGGCCCTCTGTCACAGGCCAACACTCACGCAGATCTCGTCGAACTTGCCAAAGTCGAGGGTGCCGTAGCTGTCGATGGGGGGGCGCAGGTACTCACAGTAGTCGCTGCTCTTCACCCGCTCCAGCTGCCGCACGCAGCACACGTAGGCCAGGCGTGTCTGGATCTCCGCCATGTTCAGCACCTGCGGACCCCCAGGACTGCACATGTGAAAGGGGCGTGTACATGGAGGGCGTGCATGAGGGGTGTGCAGGTCTGCATTCAGGGAGCAGATAAGCCACTGAGTATCCAGCGTGAAGTCCAGTGTTTCCTGCCCAGTGAGGCCACTCACTGCTCCCCACACACAGACCCTTTCCCAGGTTGTCCCTTTCCAGAGAGCAGTGGGCCTGGACTGTTGTCCCACCCCAGCCACACCCCCCAGGAAGTCTATCCTGTATGGGCAGGGACAGGGGGAGGTGTTGGGGGCTGCCCCCAGGAAGGTGTACCTGAGAGAGCAGGGGGGTAAGCTGCAAAGTAGACGTCAGTGCACACCAGCCCAGACAACACTGTTCCCCAGGGGGGCTGCACACCAGCCCAGACAACACTGCTCCCCACGGGGGCAGCTGGATGGGTCTGACCTGCCCACGGGCCCCCCACCTTGACTTTGGTGGCCAAGGGGTTCCAGCGTTTCCACAGCAGCCACCAGCCCGACAGGGAGTCACCGTAGTTGGTGAGGTCAGTCTCGTCCTGACTGCCCACATCAATGGCTATCACTGCCTTGGCCCCCATGGAACGGGCCACATCCGCTGCAGGAAGACAAGGACAGGCAGGCCCAGCCTAAGAGACAGAGACCCTCACCCGGCACAGAGACATGCCCCCACCCCCTGACCTCCGGCCCCACAGGTAACGAGTATACCAGGTGGGCCGTGCCCCACAGCCCTAATACCTGAGGTCTCTGGTTTCCAACAATGGCACAGAGAGGGCCACCTGCAGCCTGTTTTGAGTGCTGCTGAGTTCACCAGCAGAGCACTATGCTCCGGTCATGTCAGATCTGCTTTTATGCGTCCGTGCATGTGTCCATTAACATGCATGCTCATGTCTGTGTGTGCATGTGTGCGACCATTCATGAGTCCATGCACACGTGTGATCCATGCACGTGTGGGTGTGTGCTTGTGTGTGTTGGTATATGTGTTGATGCACATGCACACACCCACACATGCATGATGGGCGTGCACGTATGTGCCTGCGTATGCATGTATGTGTATGAGTGTGTACGTATGTGCCCATGCGTTCATGTATGTATATCTGAGTGCATGTGTCCATGTGTGTATGCATCTGAGCGTGTCCGTGTGCATGTATGTGTATCTGAGTGTGTGCATGTACGAGCCCGTGCATGTGTCCATGTATGTGAACACGTGTGCTTGTCTCTGTGTGCATGTGTCCTTGCATGTGTGAATGTGCGTGTGCACATGTCTGAGCATGTGCGTCCATGCATGTGTGAATGCACGTGTGTGCCTGTGTGTACATGTGCATAGGCGTGCTCTCTGTGCTCAGCGCCCGCCCGGAACCTTCCCTTGGCTTGCTCTGTGGAAAGCGTGCGACACCCCAGCCTTCCAGAAAGCAGAAGCATGCAGTCATGGGGGTGGGGTGCGATGCCAGCTGGGCTGCCTGCTGGCTGGGTACCTGGAAGATTATTGATGTAACCCCCATCCATCAGCAGGTGTCCATCTTTGGGGTCGCAGAGAGGGGGCAGGTAACCTGACAGGGACATGCTGGCACGTACGTACCTCCACAGGGAACCTGGGGGTACGAGGGGGCAGGGAGAATTGGTGGAACCTGCTGAAGATCGTGGTTAGGCAGCGCCAGTCTCACCTCAGAGCCACCTGTCCTTGATTCCTACCTCCCACGGAGGTGAAGTCTCCCAGCAACTCAGGAACTCCCCCCAGCTCCATGCTTCCTGTTGTCCCTGCCTCTGACACGCTGATCCACGCCCCCCCCCGAGC